GGGGCAGAAGCGTTTTAGCTGAGGAGAGACTGAAGTGATGATTTAGACCTTTGGACCTTTTAACACCCAAGATGAGAACCCTGCAAAGTGGCCCACATAGCCATGGAACCCGCCCGAGGTCGTGCATGGCTTTAGGGAACCAAGCTGGTGCAAAGGGCAGGTGGGGGAGGTTTCAGCGTCATTACCAACCTTTGTCCTGAAAGGCATCTGGCAAAAGCACTGAGTGTCCGTGACTCAGACGTGCAAGTGGCTGACAGTCCCCTGCAAGGCAAGCGGGAGTTGCTGCGCGGTAGGAGGGGCTGATCCAACACAGTCTGCGTCTGCATTTGCAAGACAGACAACAGCCGGGGTGCGTAGAGGGGCCGTGCTACGGGCTGCCTCCATTCATCACCGCTTCTTCAACACCGGGCTGGGGAGGTCCCAGGCTGCTGGAATTTGTTCCTGAACCGCTGGCTAACTGTGTTTACCAAAGAGCAAGAACGTGCCTGCGGAGGGTGGAGAGGAGGGGGACTCTCTGCGTCTCCTGCACACAGGTGTCCTGTAGCCTGGCTCTGGCAGCTGTTTCCATGATGCAAGGAACCCTGGGACGGGATGGCCTTCCCACCCTTGGCGAGGTCTAAGCATTTCCCAGAGGGGCCAAAGGCATGTGGCTGGGCTTGCTCCCCCAACACATGTGTTGCCCCCGGGATGCCAAAATCAGAGCATGGAGCGGTGCTGGCCCCCACGCCCCTCCCAGAACTCTTCTCATCCACCCTCGGAAACCTAAAAATCTATTTAAAATGCCTCGGGTTTCCTCACCAATCCTGGAACACTAGACACTGGGGGGTGCTCAGGCCTTGAGAGCAGGGAGGACTGCAGGGAGCCAGGCGCTCACCTTGGGTGCGAAATTTAATGAGGTCTCCAAAGCGTAGTGACCAAGATAACATTTTAACGCAATATTTGAAGAAAATCAAAGTTAATGCAAATAATTCATGAAAACACAATACCCAAATTTTGCATAAAGACGGGACCAGCAACAGTGCTGTGCCGAGCCCTGCTGGAGCCGGAAGCCGAGGGAAGGCTCTGGAAGCTGTAAGTCTGATCCTCTGCCCCCACTGACTCTGCTCCCAAGGAGAAACCGCATCCCACGTAGTCCCCAGGTAGTTTAAGGAGTGCCCCCAAAGTCTAAACTCATTCCAGCATCAAACTCAAACGTCCAAAGTCTAGAGTGTCACCTACATCAGATAGGGGTGAGACTCAAGGCATGATCCATCCTGTGGCAAATTCTCTTCAGCCGTTGAGCCTGCGAAATTGAGCAAGTTATGTGCTTACAAAACACAATGCCGGTGGGGGGATAGGAGGAGGGGTTCCCATTCCAAAAGGGAAAAATAGGCAAGAAGAAAGGTGTAATCAGTCTCAAGTGAGTCCAAAACCCAACAGAGCAGACATTAAATCTTAAGACTCCAGAATAATCTCTGACCCCACATCCTGCCTTCTGAGCACAGTGGGCAGGGGCTGGGCCCCAACACCTTGGGCAGCCCTGTCCTGACGACCTTGCTGGCCCAGCCCATGCAGCAGCTCTCACAGGTTGGGGCTACCAGCTGGCGGTTCTACAGTGCAAGGGTCTCAGAGCGGCCCTGCTCCCACGGCTCTGCTGGGCATGACCCCAGCGGGGAGCGTCTGCAGTGGCTCTGCCCCATGGCAATCCTCAGCCTGGCCCCAGGGCTCTCTGAGGCATCCACTGAAATCCAGGTGGAGGCTGCGGTGCCCACAGCTCATGCACTCTGCAGGTCTGTAGAGTTAGCACCATGCGGAGGCCACCAAGGCTTGTCACTGTGAGCCCGTGAAGGGTGTCCTGGCCCATCCCCTGAAACCATTCTGTCCTCCCAGAGCTCTGGGCCTGTGGTGGGAGGGACAGCCTGGAAGATCCCCAAAATGCCTTCAGGGTCACTCTCCCACTGTCTTGATGACTAGCACCTGGCTCCCTTCCATCTGTGCCGATCCCCTCAGCAAAGGGTTGGGGGCCACATCCTCGCACGTGTTCTTCACTCACTGTGTGGCTAGGCTGTGAATTTTCCAACTCTCACATTCCGTTTCCCTTTTGATTACAAATTCCATCTTTAAATCATTTCACTCACCTCTCATTTTACTATATGCAGTTAAAAGAAGCCACGCAGCACCCTGCATGCTTTGCTGCTTAGCTACGTCTTCTGCCAGCCGTCCTAGTGCATCGTTCTTAAGCTCTGCTCGGGCATGGACATAGTTCAGCACGCTCTTTGCCCCTTTATAATGTCGTGGAGGAAATACAATTTCTCCTCAACCCTCATAAGGTCATAGTTGGGACAGACCCCAGTAATAAAAAGACAGATTAACAAGAGGAAGACAGCCAAGTTTATTAATGTGTGCAGTGCAGCACGCAGGAGAAACCTCATGAACGGCACTCAAAAGGCAGTGGCTTGGCACTCTGGCTTCCACAGCACCTTCTACAAAGAACAGGGAGTTTGCAGCGAATATTAATACAAGTAAAACATGGGAGGAAGCTGACGTAGTTGGTCTGCAGATTCTTCTGGTGCCATCTCTGGGCTGAGGGTTGTCTCCAGGGGAGGAGAGTTTATATTGTCAGGCAAACATGCAGAACATAGGGAGAGCTTCTCTGCTTGCCGCTTCTTAATTGCCTTTGGCTCAAAAATAATTTTTATGCCAGTGAGGCTTATTTTGGGGTGACATGTTCTGGTTTCTTTGAATAACAAGGACAGCTTTTCCTCCACTTTCCAATACCTTGTTCCTCATTTCTGCCTGAGACCGTGTCAAAGTGGCCTTTCCCATCCCTATTTCTACAACCCTCATAAGCTCATGGTTGGCACAGACCCCAGAAACAAAAGCTCCCAACTCTTAAGTTTTGCTTCCCTTTTAGTTATAAATTCCACCTCTACATCATCACTTCAGCCATCTCTAAGACGCTCCAGACTTTCCCTGCAGCTCTTCTCCTCTTCCGAGCCCTCACCAGAACCACCCTTCACGCTCCGTTCACGGCGATGCAGGCGTTTCCTAGCCTGGTCCTCCAAATTCTTCCAGCCTCCACCCACTACCCACTTCCAAAGGCACTTGCACGTTTTCAGATACTTGTCACAGCAACAGACCTACTTCTCGGCACCAATTTTCTTTTAGTCTGTCTTGTGCTGCTCTAGCAGAACCCCACAGACTGAGCGCCTGACAAAGAACCCAGATGATGGCTCGCAGGTCTGGAGGCAGGGCAGTCCAGTCGCAAGGTGCCGGCATCTTGCTGCGTCGTAACATGACGGAGGGCAAAGGGAGGGCCGAAGAGAGGGCAGCTGGGCAGGTGCCACCTCTTAACACTGCTACAATGGCAATTAAGTTTCAACGTGAGCTTTGCAGGGGACAAACATCCAAATTATAGCAGTATCCTTTAAGGCATGAGAGTTTTGAATCTTGAAGTCCAATTTATCCTTCTGGAGGTGGGTGTTGCTGGTGGTTATGGTGTCGTATCTCAAAAACTGTTGCCTAATCTGTGATTTATTGTTGTGACCCTTGTATTTAGGTCTTTGATCCATTTCGAGTTAATTTTTGTATAATAGATGGTATGAGGTAGGAGCCCAACTTCACCCCTTTGCGTGTGGACATTCGGTTGTCTCACTACCCTTCGTTGAAAAGACTGTTCTTTCCCGCGCTGAACTGTCTCAGCACCCTCGTCTAAGAGCAACTGCCCACACAGCTACGAGTCGCTTCCTGGACTCTCGGATCGACTCCACTGGCCCGCGTGTCCGTGCGTACACCGGCACCACAGTCTTGAGTGATCTCGGCAAGTTTGGGAATCGGGAAGTGCGAGTCCTCCGGATTTGTTCTTTTTCAAGATTGTTCTGGCTATTCTCGGTCCCTTGCGTTTCCATGTGAATTTTAGGATGGGCTTTTCCACTACTAAAAAAAAAGCCAGCTGGGGTTTAGGGACTGCACTGAATCTGTAGACCAATTTGGGGAGCACTGTCATCTCGCTTCCATCCACACGCATGAGATCTTTACATTTATTTTGGTCTGCTTTAATTTCTTACAACGATGTTTTGTAGTTTTCAGCAGACAAGTCTTACCCTTTAAGAATAAACAATTCCACTTATAATAGCATCAAAAATAATACTTAGGAATAAGTTTTTAAAATTTTTTGGGTTGTTCATTGTTAGCATATTGGAAACTGATTTTTATGCATTGATCATATATCCTGCAACCCTGAAATCATTTATTAGCTCTAACAGGTTCTTTTGTAGATTCCTTAGGATTGTCTATGTACAAGGTCATGTCATCTGAAAACAAATATAATTCCTACTTCTTCCTTTCCTATCTAGATGCCTTTTATTTCTCTTTCTTGCCTAATGCCCTAACTAGAACCTCCAGTACAATACTGAAGTGGCAAAAGTGAACATCTTTGTCTTGTTCCTGAGCTTAGGGAGTTGTTTTTTAAATGAGATTTGGCATTTTTGTGGTTGGAGGGAAAGAAATCAGTGGCGAAGGAGATTATGCACAAGAGGGAATAACCGACAGAGAAAGATACAGGGGAGGCAGCGCATCACCTGGGCATACCTGGAAACTGAAATCATACTAAAAATGTGCTGCATCGACGGAAGGCACATTTCTTGACTTTAAAGTTAGGTGTTTCACATCTGTTTCTTCTTCGAAAAAAAGGGAGGTAAAGACGATGCTCTCTGCAATAGAAGACAGACCTTCTCCTCCACTTCCAGTTCACATGACCACCGCACTCGAGACAGAAGTGACAGTGACAGCCCCGCACAAGCGCGGCTGATAAACGCGCCTTCCTGCTCAAAGGCCCACCCCAACACGAGAGATGCCACAGGTGACAAAGATGGCTTGAGGAGACTTGGAGTTTATTTGCTGCAGTTCCTTGGCGCTAGTGTACAAGGCAAAAACAAACAAAAACAATTGGAATAATTATAATTTTTTAAAAACCCTGTCAACAACTTTCAGTCATTTCTTTATATTTTATATTTTGACAAAACTTTTTTTAAACAAATACAAAATAATCTAAAAGGAGAAAAACTATACATGGATTATTTACACCTCTGATAAATAGACTAATACTGATCCAGGGGCCGCTCTGTCTAGAAGTATTTGTGAGAACCAGAGCAAGGGACCGGGCCGCCAGACAGGCCCAGCACCAGCCCTGACACCACCCAGACTAGAGCTGGCACCGCCCTGGTTCTCCCACCCACAAAGTTCCGGTTTCCAGCCTGGACCTTCTTCTGTCACCTTCACAAGCTCCGGCCTAAGAGCGCCCGAAGCCATTCCAGGTAGGATCTACACGAAGGGGGGTGCCAGAATGTCCCCCCACACTGCTCCCACCACTGCTCTGGCAAAAGCTATTTCCAGAGATCAGAGGAGCCGCGGCGACACAGCCCTGCGGAGACCCGCAGCTCCTCACCTGCCTCCTGGCGGCAGCGCTCTGCACCAACCCAGTCCAGGGCCATGTGGAGATGGCCAGAGCCACCTGCTCTGCCCAGACCAGCGCGCTGGCCTCGGCCGGGCGGCAGGGGCTGCCCGGAGAGTCCCTGAGAGAACGGCAGGAGAGCGCTGGCCTGGGCGGGCCAGCTCGCTCACATGCCCCACGGGGACAAGGGTTCCAAGAGGCTGACCTTGGCCCTCTCGTCCCACTGCACCCTCTGAGCAGACAGAGACCCGCTTCCCCTCGAGGGGACCCACCCCCAAACTTCCAGAGTAGTCCAGTTAGGGCCGGCTGCGGCAGGAAAAGCTGAAGCCCTAAGGGGCTCAGGCAGGACCTACTCCTTCCTCTACAACGAGGACTGGAGTTTGGGGAAGAGAAGAAAAACCAAATATGAAACAGTTAGGTCATCCCGGATGCTCTGTCGGGAAAACCTTCCTCACAGTTTTGGTTATTAGGTATTTAGCTCAAGGAAAATGCTGACTTTCTACTTTAAAGCCCAACAAGAACTTGGATTCTGAAGGAGAGAAACAGCGCAAGTGTCCAGTCACTTGTCTCCTCTCCTTGGCGCCCCGCAGGCACTTGGGATGGAACAGCATCTGCCGGAGCTGCGGGCCTGCACCTGCTTGCGGCCGCCGCGCCCGGCCAACAGGCCCCGCGGTCTGACCGCGTCATCCGGAGATCTCCCTCGCCCGCTGCACCCTCTGCGTTCTCTACGTCACCCTCCCTGTCGCCCCCTCTTGCCCAGACGAGCACCCGGCAGCGAGCGCCCCCCAGCTCCCGGAGCACAGGAGGGGCGGCCTGCCCTGTCCAGGCTGACACCCTCAGCAGCAGCCCAGGGAGCTCTTCTCTAGTGTGAAGCTCCCCAGACCAGACAGGGCAGAATGCACCCGAACAGTGCTACGTTTTTTAAAAAAAACAAAAAAAAAACAAAAATAGATTTTTATAGTACGTGGCTTCTCTTCCTTTCCACCATTTTCTTGACATAGAATAATATATCGATACATGTATTTATGGTGCAGGGGTGAAGGCTTCTTCATGGGGAAACCACCAAGAGGTAAACAGTCCGCTTTGAGCTCTGCTATCAGACCCGCTGAGCGGGAGACTGGCAGGAGGCTGCTCTGCCGACAGCAGCTCTGCTCTGCTGAGAGAGAAGGTTCGGGAACCCATGCTAGACAGGCAGTAGGCCCCTCTTCCCAGTAATAACTGCCCGCCCTTCTCCCATTTAAAAAAAAAAAATAGCAAAAGCAGAAGCTAGTCTCTAGGAACTCGGGGCAGGGCCTGGAGGAGAGGACGCCCCTCAGCGGCACCGTCTGTGGAGGCCGGGAGACGGGGCCGGGGCTCCGCAGGCCTCGCGGCTGACGCCCTGGGCTGCACTCAGTGTCTTTTCGTGGAAGAGACCTTCTTTTTCCGCGCCGCAAGCATCTCGTAGAAAGGGTCCCTGCTGATGGCTGCTCTGGAGCACAGAAAGGGGAGAAAATAGAGGCATGAGGGGCATGGCCATGGAGACACAGTCCTGGGTGGGGGCTGCTCAGGGCCCTCGTGCCCCCCCCCCCCAACTATCCCATAGAGGCCCAGTCAGTGAGTCAGCTCTTGCTGCGACCACACAGGGCTTAAGGTGACTCGCTTCAAAAAATAGACACACGCCAGGCGCAGTGGCTCACGCCTGTAATCCTAGCTCTCTGGGAGGCCGAGGCGGGCGGATTGTTTGAGCTCAGGGGTTCGAGACCAGCCTGAGCAAGAGCGAGACCCCGTCTCCACTAAAAATAGAAAGAAATTAATCAGACAACTAAAAATATATAGAAAAAATTAGCTGGGCATGGTGGCACATGTCTGTAGTCCCAGCTACTCGGGAGGCTGAGGCAGGAGGATCACTTGAGCCCAGGAGTTTGAGGTTGCTGTGAGCTAGGCTGACGCCACGGCACTCTAACCTGGGCAACACAGTGAGACTCTGTCTCAAAAAAAAAAAAAGAGACACACAGGGACACATGACAAGATAATTTTTTTTTTTTTACCTATTTCAATCTAATAATTAATTTACATTTAGGAAGAGAATCATTGCACATTCTTACAGCTATATTCTAATTCAGAGAAAAAGAGCACACACGGTACTTTAGTTCCACCACTGACATCCGGCTTTCCTTCATGGCAGCAAGTGCCATATCAAGCATGTCACACGGCAGTCCCTGAGCAACTGAGCTCTGCACGGTGGCAGCAAGCGCAGCTTCCGGAGTCACACTGCTCAGGCTAGGGGAGCAGCACCACCTCTGTGTGGCTCCGGACGACTGACTTAACCCTGCTGTGCCTCAGTTTCCTCATCTGTGAGACAGGGAGATGCCTCGTGACGGGAGGAGAGAGGCTGCGCTTGCAGAGCGGGGTCTGCGAGTCCCGAGGCTGGGCGAGGGAGTCTGGACAGACCAGAGGAGCTGACTGTCGGGGGCTTGGCTTCACTGCAGCTACGGCACTGACCGTTCCACGTGTGGCTCTAAAGAATGCTTAGTCCTCCTGGCCACAGAGCTGCAAACTGTACGAAAGACAGAACGTACGATGCCAGCCAGGACTGTTCTGAGAGAACAGTGAGGGGAGGCCAGGGGGCCCACGAGCTCCCACACGGCAGCAGCGGGAAGGCTGCAGGGCCAGGGCAGCGTGGGGTTGTCCTGAGAGACACGCGGATCAACAGAGGCTAACCCGCGCGGGCCAGGGACTCGGTACAAACTAAGGAATGTGTCACATCGGTGGGGAGAAATGCGTTATCAGTCGGGTCAATCAGCTATTCATTCAGTTGTGAGAACAAAATTACAGCCCTTACTTCAAACCATATACAAAAAATAAATTTCATAACAATTAAAGAGTTAAATATTTTTAAAAACACGTTTAAAAAAAGACATAAGATGCGTAGGTGACGTCCACCTGGCCACAGGTCCCCACTGTCTTCTTCCCCAGACCACAGGGCCGGTGCCACGACTGGCGGCGACTCTGACAGCTCTGCACACGCCCAGTGGGGAGTGGACCAGGCCCACCCAAGGCCACACTTCCGATGACAGCCACGAGCCCAGGGAAGCGGCCCAAGTCCAGGCAGTGGCTGGCGTGCCCACTGCACACTCTCACCGGATCCTCCAAGGAGCCCAGTGAGTCAGGAATGACCTCCATCAGAGGGAAGGGGCAGGTCACCCTCGCTGCCAGGCTACGCTGCCCGGCTACGCTGCCCAGAGACAGGGCGAGGTCTCAGCACAGGGTGACCCGACTCCAGACCCACACTCCCCCTGCCTGGTTCCTGTCTCTTCTCAAGACTGCTTTTGCGGGAATAAATCATCTACTTCTTCCCACCTCCATCTTTAGTCACTCAGTACTTAACCGTGACCAAAACACCATACGGGTTTGAGTAGAAATACCAAAAAATAAAACAAAACGAAGACTAGAGAATATTCACCCCTGTAGGGGGCTGCAGCCTGGGTGGGACAAAGCCCATCACACAGAAAAACAGGGACCTCAGAGGAAACAGCTGGGTCACTTCTGATGGCTGGAGTACCCAGGAGGGAGAACAAGGACGTGCTCCTGGGAGCCATGATTGCCAAGAGGATGAAAAGCCAGAATGCTCAGTGCCAATCCCCACACAAGAAGGGGTAGCAGTTTGGACCGGGTTGCACACAAGTCCCAGACAGGAACATTAAGGAAGAGAAGCCGCTTGGGTTCAGAAATTACATTTCCAGACACCTGCCACAACAGGACATCTCTGTCCCTGTAACGAACCCTACACTAGTGTGACCTGGAGGAGCAGACAAAGCCCGGGGTCTGCGGCTCCGTTCTTAGCTGTATGACCTGGAGGCAGCATTTCCCTACTCCCAGACCCTCGGCTTTCTCCCAGCACAGTGGGGCGTGGTTCTATGGGACTTCTGGCAAATTTCTTAACCTCTATGGGCCTGCTTCCTCAGCTGTAAATGGGAAAATGGTGTCTTATAGGAGTAACAAATTATAAAACATGATCACTATCTCTACTGAGCTATCTCCATGAAAATGAGATCTGCTGCCTTAGACATGGGAAGACAGCTCAGCAGATGGCACTGTGCCTAAGAACTCGCTCACCTGGGGAACCTAGGCAGGAGGTGCTCTCTTAAAATTGCATAACAGCCAAGAATCCACAGGTCTCCTGGGAGGTACTCTGGGAAGTACAACTGAACCATCCATTCCCTGAGGACCTAACACAGAGCAGGAGCACAGGGGAGGTAGGGCAGTGGATTCCGGAGCTGGGATGATCGGTGTCTGACAGTGTGAGTCACGGTCAGGCAGGCCACACTCCTGTTTGCAGATGGCACTTACTTAATGCACTTGATCCACTCCTCCTTCTCCTCGGGCGTGGGGGCTGAGATGCGGTACACGGTGTGGTTCCCCTCCACCACGCGCCCGTCCGCCTCGGTCTTGCAGGCCTTGATCACTTGGTCTTTGTTGTCGGGGATGTACAGCTCAAAGCAGTTCTGAGAAGTGACAGGGGAGAGGTGGCACAAAGGTCTTAGGAAGCTGCCGACCAGAAAATGTTTGTTTATTTCCCAAAACACTCTTTATCTGACCTTCATAAGACACAGGCAATATATGTCTTCCCGTGGAAAAGAGGAGCCCAGAAGCAGAGCTCTGGAGAGCGTAACTGGACGTAAATAGCGTTTATTCGCAAACACGTCAACCAGAGACACGGCGAGAGCCGCAGGTTACTTCATCCTTTCTAAAGCCAAGGCAGTAATATCATGATAGTCCAAAACACAGAAAAACATTTATAAAATACCCCGAGGTATAAAATACCCTGAGTGCTTCCTGCTGCCATTCAGGGAGGGACAATTTCTACACCTCGGTGACGGTCAGTGATACTACACCAGACAGAACAAAAGGTGATTCACAGTCTCACCTCTGGCTTCAGTGCTAAAGATAATCAAAAAATTAGACTAAATTAAAGGCATGATACTACTTTTCAGTTTTTTTGGTGTTTAAAAAGAAAACCAAATAACTCTGAAATTTCATTCTTTTCCAACGAACTTTATGCTCATTCCCTTTCTCTCCGCAAAAATTTCTCAGCAAAGATACTCACTGGTTTTTTTGAGTCCTCCACTTCCCGGATACTCAGATTTTCTAAAGGGATGATGCCACGGGGCTCCTTATCCTACAGGACAGTTGAAGACAGGGAGACTTCACCACCCAGTCAAGGACACGCACTGTTCCATTCCCTCCCGGCAGCTCATCCTAACTCTCCTGTCTTCTCCGTGACATGAAATTCACATGTCAGCTCGAGGGACCACCTCCTATGTTCTAAAGCAAGAGGAGGTGCAGAAGTGTCTGGGGATCGTCCCTGTAACCAGAAGTCCTTTGCAAGTGGAAAGCCCAGGAGGTTCAGCAGATGCCCCGGAAGGCCCTGCCCTCCCCCTCCCTTCTTGCCCTGCCCTCCTGCCACCTCCCGAGCCTCAGTTCTGGCGTCAGCAGCTCCAGGAAGCCTTTCCCCAGCTCATCCAGTGCCCCGCTCTGCGCCCCCAATGCCCAGGACCACAGCTGTGGCACAGACCATTCCTTACGTGCTGTCTCTGCCCGCTGCCCCCACTGCCCTCACCGCCCTCCTGACGGCTCTACCTGGATCTAAGGAGGCACCGAAACTCCTGTCCGCGACAGAGCTAACCCCACCCCCACTGGTCCTCCCTGGCAACTCATCCTAACTCTCCTGCCTTCTCCCACAACATGAAGCTCAGAGTGCAGCTCGAGGGACCACCCCTTACGCCCTCCCCTCACAGCGGAGCCCCGGCACATGCCTGCACAGGTCTGCGTAGCCTTCACTGTGCTCCCCGACACCCAGCTAACCACTCACTTCACAAGTCATCGTATCTGATCAGGGTTCCACACGCAAAAAGTGTTTAAAAAATCAAGTTCTACAGGTTTTGTAACAGCAAAGCAGTCTTTCAGCCATTTTCTCATCCCTGGTGGCAACTATTTCGACTGCCTTTGGCCAATCTGTTTGGTATCTGCCGCTGTGTCTCATACATCTCTAAGACACCATGTTTGAACTGCTGCCTTTTGTGTGTGCAGTTTAAGATGCTGCCTGTAGCAGAAGAGGACGTGGCTCCTGCTCTCACCCTGGCGTGTTCACACTCCCCGTCCCCCTAAGTAAGTATCTGGTACTTTGGGTCAGAGCCGCACACAGCGTTTTCATCAACACTACTTTTCTCTTCAGACCCGTGCCACACAGTAACCTTTTTTTTACCTTTTTTTCCAGAAAATCTTCTCTCCCTCGACCCCCCGCACTCAAAATCACCTTTTACTGGGGGTAAGGGTTGTTTCTTTTATCTATTTTTCTATGACCTTAAAACCAAAATCAATTATAAATGGTTCATCTCTTGTCACAATCTCCTTTTTAATGCTAATTTCCTGATGGCACCTCCCCCGGAGCCCGGTCCACCAGCCTGGCTGCCTCAGGCTCATCCCCACTCCTCCCTCCGCGCTGCCAGGCCTCCCCTCTCCTCCCCTCTCCGCTTATCGCCTCAGCTGGCAGAGCACCCCCTCCGCTCCCATCCTGAGGGCGTGTTGTGGGAACGTGTCTGAGACCCCGCTTATTCAACACTGTTTCTACTCGGCCCTCACACCTGACTGACAGTGTGGCTGGGTGTGACAGCCCAGGCTGGATACAATCCTCCTCCTGGACTGTGACGGGCGGCATCCCCGTCTAGCTGTCAACATCGCCCTGTCCAAAGTCACTGCGGTTGCTGATGCTTTGCATGTGACTGCTGTTCCCTTTGTCCTCAGTGTTCAGAGACTCCAGGAGGATGCAGGCTTGGTGTGGACCTATTTTCAGCCATTGCGCAGGGCATCCAGTAAGCCTTTCAACTTGGAAACACACATTCCTCATCTGGGGAGAACTTTAAAAAAAAACCGTCTTTTCAAGGGTCACCTCCTCTGCTTTCTTAGTCCTCTCTGGAGCATGGTGGACCTCCTGGACTGGTTCTTTTCTCTTTAAAAGAATCTTTCCTTTATTATTTTCCATCTCTTTGCCTTTTTACTCTTTCTGGGAGATATTCTTGGTGTTTTTCATCCAACCCTTCAATTTTCACCCTCTTCACTCCCATCTCTAGGGTTATCTGGTGCCTGAACATTTTGAGGATTCTGCAGGGCTGAGCTGAGTCACTGCCAGGTGAGCAGGTGAAGAGTTAGCATAATGTGGACCTTAATAAGGCTGTAACTTCATTCACACTTAGGCTGGTGGGGCCTGCGACATCTGGGTTATGTGTGCATGATGCATGTTCTCGATGTAAGGTGATTTTAAACCAAGAAGATTTACACTGTGGTCTTCAGCTGGGAGTAGGGAGTAGATTATAAGGCGACCCTTATAACCACTGGGGAACCCCACAGGAGATCCTGTATCGTTTCCTGCCCCTGCCTCGCCCATCTCGCTGCATCACGAACAACGCAGCCCTCCTCACTCTTCTGCTCACACCCATCCTCTGCCTGGGACTGGACAGCGCGAGCCAGCGCCACTCACAGGAGCATGCTCGATCCCGCGGATGCTGTGGCGGAAGCAGACTGAGAGAAACTGATGGAAACACGGAGAGGGGTCCCTATCCAGGGTCCTCCTCGCTGGAACTAAGTGGATGGTCAGGCCTAAGAACAGGTACCCGACACACATCCCTGATGACTGTGTGCCTGGTAACCACCACGTCCCCAGGAAGAGAGTGCTAACCAGCGTTAATGTCTTTGGCTTATCGGATTTTTCTTTAAGACCATTGTTCTTGTAAAAATAACTGTCCAATAAAAGACCTTAAAATACTGCAGAGAAGAAAAAAGGCGAAAGGTTTAAAAACATTGCAAATCCAATCACTCCTAAATTACCACTGCTGGCCTGAGGTGAAGATATGCTGTGTGTGTATAGAGGGAGAGATATAGGTTTTATGAAAATGGTATATTTCAGTTGGTGTCATTTCCATAAAAGACTTTCCATCTTAATTTTACAGAATTTAATAGAAGAAAAAAATGGAAACAGAAACTGGAGAAGCCTTGAACTTCAAAGTAAATGTTTCTTTACCGTAAGAGTTCCTAAAATAACTTTATTCGAGTTAAGAAAAAAAATGCTTATGAAAAACGTTAAGAAGTTTTAGTCATTCTTTTTTTAAAAAAATATGTTTCAATTTTACCTGTTGCTGAGGCTGGAGTGCAGTGAAGCGATCACAGCTCACCGCAGCCTCGAACTCCAGGCCTCAAGCAATCCTCCTGCCTCAGCCTCTCAAAGTGCCGAGATTATAGGCGTGAGCCACCACGCCCAGGTTTAACAGTATGTCTTGACTCTTTGTTTTGAAAGATAAGAAATATTCTCATAATTCTTCACATCCTTCCTCCTCCTACCTCCTGATTTTTGTTAATTATTTCATTTTTGCATTGCCTAGGTTTGTAACAGTCATGGTCTGTTCTATGGCCACAATTTCCAGTTATTTACTATTAGTGCTATATTTAACTGTATGTCAGTACTGGTTCTATGTTTAAGTATATTTTAGTATTAGTCTTACATTTATGTTCATAGTAGTTCTATATTTAAGTGTATGTTGGAGTTAGCTCTGTGTTTCAGTGAGTTAGTTCCATGCTCACCATTGGGTTTTTACTTCCTGGGGCCTTTCTTTGATTCATTCTCTTCCTGGCTAGATGCTACTGTCAAGCAGGTTTTTCAAGAAGGTTCCAGGGTGCTATAGTTCATGTTTTCTTCTATGGTAAGGCCACTAGCTGAGATTCACTTTAATGATAACGGGTCTGGATGAAGGCTGCTGGGTCATCTTCCCTTCACACCTGTGGAGACCTTCAACCACTAGCTTCTGGCACTGAAAGCTGCCCGAGATGATCTGCTTTTGCCAACTGAATGGCCAGAGGCCTTGCTCCAAGTTCGACTGTAGGGCTAGCTAGGCCTCGGGGCCAAATTTATGTAAGTTTCCTGAAATACAGTGCACTCTTTTGATTTGTACATTCAGAGTTTTTCCTCCTTTTCAGACAAATAATGTCATGGGACATCATACTTTGATTTTGCAGGCACCAATTATTCTGGTATTGGGATCATCTTCTGTCCCCCACATCCATTAGCTTTTTATCTAATTGTTTCAATTCTTGTCTTTTTCTGATAAAATCTCTGTGATTAGCTCAAACCCTTCCTCCAGGACGTGATTAGATTCTCTGCTAATCTGTTCCACTCCTAAAAGTTTTAACTTATGTGTTAATAAGCTATAATTCAACAATTACATAGTTACATTTCAAATACATTACATAGTTTTGGTGCTCACTTGTTTTAAGACTACAACCTCTCCTTTCTAGTCTTCCTGCTCATGCTGGTCACTCCACGAGTGGCTCCTGATTCCCTCCTCTGAATCTCTGACCACCGACTTAAGGCGGAGGGTCAGGTGTTTTGTATTCTAGCACTTTCTATAGTCTTCTAAGAGAATGGTGAGTGAAGGAGAGCTCATCTAAGACGACCTCTGACCTCTCTTCTGGGACTGTGAATGTCCAAAGTCAGGGTTTGCTCTCCCTAGTTCAGGGCGGACATGGTACTTTTGGGAGCCCTCCATGGACAGTTTTCCCAACTGCACACACAGTCCTGAGCCTGCCCCTGTGTCACAGTGAGCCCTGTTCTTTCACTTCCTATTTCGCCAATTTCTACCCAGCAGATTTTGTTCCTCCTTGATCAGAGGGGAAAATAATTCCCACTCAGCGTGCTTCCCTCGGCCCGAGGGTACCCACGAGGGCTGCCGTCACCTCCCAGGGCTGCAAGCTGGGACCCTCCACTCTGTTCCCGGAGCTGCTGCGGCTGCCCTGTGGCCAGCAGCAGGAGTTCACTGAATTACTCAGGCCCCTTTCCTCACTTGGTTGCTGTTGTGTCCCATTTTTACTAGTTTCTTGCTCTATTAGATAATGCTGTGTGGAAGTTTCAATCTACCATCTTAACTCCGGTACTTCCTGTCTGCATCTTAAGGAAAGCATTCGCCTCTGTGTTTCCACTGCCTGATAAGATGCTGGCATTTTGCTGAAGAAATGTTGCTGCACTGAGCTGAGGTGACACCACCACGGTCAGCATCACGAGGAACACAGACTCTATCACAGAATCTCATAGTGCCAGGACTGCCTAGCACCTAGGACTACACTGCTTAGAAGCCTGTGCGAGTTTCACTTTGACCCACAGGACAGTGAAAAAAATCCAAACAAGACGTTAAAGACGTCATTAGTGTAGGTATCTTCAAGAAAAAGGCAAAATACGGGCGGAAGGGTGAACAAAACAGAAAGAAATTTACCGAGCTGTTCATAGTGATACTTTGAGGGGAGAAACAGGGAGAACCTTTTTACTACTTTCTGTATTTGAAGTGGATTACTCTCATGTGAAAAGACTAGAATAACAGGAAAGTAAAGCCAGCTGCAGAACCTGCGTGGCACGAGTTTAGTCCCTAGAACACACACAATTCTGGTCAGAATTCCCCTGCAAATTATTTACTATCATAATAAACAGTGTACCATCAGAATGAGGGGTTTGGATTTACAACCTGATACTGCTGCAAAGCTCATTCCCCGTGCAAGAAGCTACATTAGTACGCTATCCACAAAGACGGGGAACAGTGCAAAGTGTTAAATGCAACAGAAACCCATCCTTGCTCCTGACAGCAGTACAACGCGGAGGCATGCACCCGTGTACTGGTCCCTAATAATTTCTATCTACATATGGCTAGGATTTTAATTTTTTGCTTAAGCACCATTTTCCCCTCGTTTATTAGAAGAGATAATTCTAAGTCTTAATTTTTTCAGTGGGATCAATGACTTTTACACAAATAAGATATGCTTGGACAACAAAAGCGAAGCTTTCCCAATTCAACTGCCTTGAGTTGTTTCGAGACACAAGTCCAGTGCTGCCAGCAGTACAACCAATTCACTCCTTAGACGACCAAGAGGAGCGACAGAAAGGAAAGACACACAGCTGGGCACCATCCCTTTGGTGCATACGTAACACAGACTTGCAGTTGTTAGTCTCGTCCACTGAATAAAAACCAAAACTTCCATAGTTTAAGAAAACTTCAATTCTTAAAACTCCAGATAATCTCAATTTAACTTTTCCCATTTCACTTTACTTCTTTTTCCCCCATTATGCATTTTATCCCTTGGGCTGCTTCTTCTGGATCAAACCCTTCAGCATTTCTGCTATCCCAGAACATCTGAATCCTCCAAATCACGATTGTTTTCTTTTCTGTCCATCTCCCTTTCAACAGGGCCACAGACTCTTCCTTGGCAACTGATGCCAGCTCATTCCTTCTAGCCCAGCTCCCAAACACAGCGTCTAAAGCAGTCTCTCCCCTTTCCTCCCGGCCAGGCGTCGCTGCCACCCGGGTCCGTGCTCGCTACGAGCCACGGTTCCTCTCCAGGCACTCAACACCCTCTCTCAGGTTCCCCATTCTGAGATGTACCTTAGTTTGTCTGCTTTGCTTAAGTTCTCCCCTGACCCCTAAAGATGTGGAAGGACAAATCTGACTGTCTCCCCACTGCCTCCTCCAACCGTGCTTGGTTAGGGCCATTTAGAAATGGACGCCTGGCCCATCCCTAGTCCCGAGGCCGACCAGCAGGTGCTCACCGTGGTATATTCAAAGTAGTAAAGGCAGTTGTCAGTCAGAATGAACCAGCGTCTTTTCCAAGTCTTTACCCTGCCACCTGCAGAGCAAAAAGAGATGCACATTCGACCCGAGACAGCCGGGCAAGCGCAGGCTCCAAAACGCACAAAGCTCTCTTCTCAAAGAGGGGGAGGGGAGGGAGGGGGGAGGGGCTGGGCATCAGGAGAACATTTAGACCACAAATTTTACATCAGTAACGAGACACAGAGCCAAAACAGAAGCATCTTTCACGAAGTGAAAGTCTGTGGGTACAAGCGGAGCAAGCGCGTCTAGGTGACACCTGGAGATGAGATCAGGACAGCAGGATGAGAGAGCACGGGTTTGTGGAGGAAAACCCAGGGCAGTAATGACGGCAATGCAAATTTGCCTCGGGCTGGAGAACCGTCAGCAAAAAGCCTGCATGGCAGAAATGGGCAAGGAGAGAGCGGCGAGGGCCAGCGTCCTGGTGCAGGCCACGCTGCCGCCGACACACAGCTGGGCAGAGAGCAGGTGAGGAGGAGAAGTAGGAATGAGACACTGCAGGCCCTTCATAATCAAATCCATTCTTCCTTCGAACAGGAAACCAAACCCCTGCGGTTTTAACCCTCTACCTCACCTTCCTGAATGTACTGAATTTCTACACTGGCTTTTAGCCTCCTAGGCTGGTGCCCTGAAAGTAACCTCTCCCCAGAGACCTGGGTGAGAATCAAAGCAAAATGCCTTTACTGGGGAGGAATCAACTTGTAAGGAGAGGTCGGCTCAGGAGCCTTTTCGGTTCTGGGTTCTCACTTCAGCTTTTAACAAAAGCAGCTAGCAGAGGAGGCCATGGGCCAAATGAGCCCTGGTGGTGGTGGCTGGGAGCTGGCAAGGGCCTCCCTTAGTCCTTTTCAGTATTTCTCAATAAATAATGTTGATGTCATGAAGTTACACAGAGGTAGATACTAAGGAGGAAAACTTTAACTGTGGCCTCTCTGAAGGAAGCCGCACCCTGCTCTCAGGACCATGAGACTCTCTTTTCCTGAACTTTCCTCAGGTCCAGGGAAAATTTTCCAAATAATGAACCACACACAAATTATCTGGGCCAGGCACGGTGGTACGTGCTTGTAATCCCAGATGCCCAGGAGGCTGAGGCTGGAGGATTGCTTGAGCCCAAGAGTTCAAGGCCAGACTGGGCAACATATTGAGATCCCGCCTCTTAAAAAAAATTATCCTTAAGGCCTTCACATGCTAAGCTATGCATGGCCTTCTAGAAACACTTGTGCCCTGCTCTTTTGAGCCTATGCTCTTTGGCTAAGAGTTAAGCTACACAGAACATCACTTCCCCAATATTCATAAAAAGCAAGGACCACAGGGCACAAACCTTGTTCCACCCCGTTGTGCTTTCTCTCTTGCCCTCACCACAAACAGGTGAGCAGAGGGTGGTCTTACAGGGACTATGTCCAACTGCGAGGACCTGCCTGCATGCTCACGCCAAAGAAGCCCAAGAGGAGAATGCAAATCATGTCCAGTGTAGGTCCTGGCAGACAAGTGTCAGGACTATGGGACTGTTAGGCTCATTTTACGCTCTGCTTGGGTGCCTGAACTCTAGGGGGGCTTAAGTGACTGATCATGAACTGCCAAGATTCTATAGGACACAGACCTAGGTCATGTGAGGGAGTTTGCTGCCAGCAGGCATGTGCCACCTTCCCACCCATCCTGTGCTGGTTTCAAGCAAATTGAGACTCTCTCCCTCCAGTAATTTGTGAGTTTATATGAGCACTTGACGCTGGTCCCCAAGAGTTATATGGCATGAATTAAAAAACTGTAAATGGATAATGTGACATGCATGTGAAAAACAGGAAGGCTGGGCAGAATTAAAATAAATAAGGAAGAGAAAGAAGACAAGGAATATATTCAGAATTGGAGCCAACTTGTTCTTAAAAAGGAACCCTCCTCCCCCATTTCAGGGTCTGAGAACTTCAGTCGTCCAGCTTTGGGGGCCTCTGGTTCTCCCTGCAGAGCTTGGCACACAAGGAACATCAACCCATGCTGACCTCCCATGCACTCTGCCACAGGACACTACCCTGGGTGACACTCGGGACTTAGGAGATCATGGAAAAGCAGGTCAGATGCCAAAGGAACAAGATGGAAGGAAATCAAGGAGAAAAAGCAAAGCCGCAAGAAACTTTCTGCCTGATTACAAAAGCTTGGTTATTTCCCTGGACACTTAGTTGCATTTCAGAGACCTCTGATATAAAGCGTGGCTGTGGGGGGGGCCCATGGGGAGCATTTCCATGTGGAAAGAAAAACAGACATGAAACAAGCAGACAGATCAATGCGCCTAGGACAGTCCCTGTGGAACTCACAGGACCACCTCCCCTTGCACGGCTCCTCGTGCCCTCCTGTGACCCCTCAGCAAGGCCAGATGCCATCCTCCCCTACAGTTGAGAACGACCTGACAAGTCCCTAAAACATTTGAATAAATGTCAATGTTTGGGGCTGTTCTTTTTAAGTTAGCTCTGCTCAAGGGATGCTTAGGCACAAACCTGAGGAGCTCTTGTGCTAGGAAAAATGTGTTTCCCCCAAATCAGCAAATGGAGAGTAAATACCAACAACGTAACTGAGCGGCCAATTTGGGGTCTTAACAATGGCTCCCTGAAAAGGAAGGGGGAACAAAACAAAATAAAAACAAAGCTGAGGCTATCATGCCCTTCCCTGACACCCAGAAAATACAAGAACTTCAGCTAGGAATTTTTAGGTTTTTGGGTTCTTTTTAAACTTCACTTGGCATCAGTTTGAGTTTAGGAAACATCATTTCCCTTTTTCATGCAAAGGCAAATGTCCTAAATGTCGCCTAATTTAATGCTTTTCCTAATTTGCTTTTCAATCACGGTATGTCAGAAGCGCATGGCTTTGGGACTTCCTTCCCTTCCTCCTCTTCCCCACTTCAGAAATTACTTTCAATCAAGTTGATTCATGGATGTCAATTTGAATTTAACAAACATAGCACATGCTTAGCCAATAATTCCAAGTGGAAATGCAATGAATACTTTTTTTTGCTTTTTATAAACCTACTCTTAGCATGTTTCCTTACACTACTGCACTCAGCAAGTTAAATCGCTGCACACCTTGGTGCCTAGTGTCCGATGCACTATATACTCCCCCAAAAGGGAAAACATGAGAAGTGCTACAAAGCCCCAGCCTGACCAGTTCCCTAGGGACTGTACGCTAAGTTAGAAGCAGCATTAACACTACCACCAGCAATTAAAAAAAAAAAAAATAATAACCAAAAATAACAAAGTAAGAAAACGCTGCAGCAATGACAGTGGCCTGGGCAGAGCGCGAGCAGGGTGAGGGGTTACATACCTCCTGGAGTTTGGGGCAAGGAAAAGGAGAGCCAAAATCATGGAAACATACAAATGAGGGAGAAAAGAAAATTAAAACAAAGAAATCAAACCCGATTCCTTAATCTTAAAAGTGCAATGTTTCAGTCACATTCATGTCTGCCTGGGGAGGGTGCTGAGCTAAAACACCTGCCGCTGTCCGGCACGGGGACTAGGGTATATCTACGTGCCACAGCCCACCCGGTCAAGGCAAGATTTGAGGCACTACTGACAACCTGGCCCCAAAGATGGCATAAATCAGTGTTTACAAAGCCAGCATTTATTGGTATATCCAGAACCGGAGCAAAAAAAGCAAAGATTACTTTGGGGAAATTAAATGTCTTTTCTTAGATGGCTGTCACTTTTTAACGTGTGTGTAAGAATGCACACACATATACCCATGAAGACACATGTACGTATGTGTATACACAAGAATACACATTCTTACGGCTATATGCATACACAGACATATACACACAACTACAGATGGCTGGAGGCCCTGCCTTCTGCAGCACATAAACACAAAGGAGTGATTCTAAGTGTGCTACAATAAAAACACAATATTAAGAGTTTAGAAGGGTTTGGTGGACATTTAGAAAAAGTAATGCAATGAGCTAAAACTGAGTCCCACATTTAGTCAATTTTTTTCTCTTTAAAAATATGGGATGCCTCATGAATTTGCATGTCATCCTGGTGCAAGAACCAAGATAATCTTTGTACTGTTCTAATTTTAGTATCTGGGCTGTCAAAGCCAACACTTAGCATTAGCATTTAAACAAATTTCACTGGAGGGGGAAGTAAATCCAAACTTAGACACACTTTAAAAATTTCTAGCAGGTTTCCTTTTAACTCTATCCATTTGACAATGAGAATGTGGAGCAGAAGGTTGCCTACGGGTTAATAAATTTTAGAGCTTTAACTTCAAAGATTCTACTGGCTTAAAGATACATGAAATGATGGCCAATTCAAGAGATATTTAAAGCTCCGCTCAGTGAAGAGGTGCTTTAAGGGGAATTTATGAATTAAGTCATTATGTATAAGCTCAAGGACTTGGGATATGCTTTTAAAAGGAAATATAAATCCTACTGCTATCTGAACTCGTCAGAAATAAAAGATTCCATTTTATCCTTCCCAGATGTGTCAGTGGCCAAGAGAGTAATGACTTCTAATCACTGCGGCAAGTAATTGAGATGCTAGAGGAAGGTCATTCGAATGCAACACCCCCTGCTAATGTGGGACCCACCTCATCAAAGCCAAGGCAGGAGAAAACAGAGGAAAGTACTCTGTCAGTGGCCAAAATACAGACATCAACATGTCCTGAGGCCTAGAGCTCTATGTTCTGAAACAATTACTAAAATCATCACATGTGGGCAGGAATGTGTATAGAAACCCTACTAATTTTTTTCCTTTGTTTACTTTGTCACCTTCATGGTGAGGCATGATCACAAATCTCAGCAACACAAGCTCACTTTTAACAGAAGAAAGAGGAATACATTTTCAACTTTTCTGAATGAATAAAATCATTAATGTGGCTGATTCGGATTGGGAAGGAGCGGGGAGCAGGGGGACCACTGCCTGAGAATGAGTAAGAGTGCTGTGGATTGCGCTGCAGCCAACAGCTCGAGGTTTGCCATGCACACTGCCTGTGGGGAGCCAGATGCAGAAGGCGGTGATGATGCGCTGGGGTGGGGCGGGAGCGCCAGATACTCGTCTGGGTGACGCAAGTAGAAAGATGGACAAGGTTGGCCACCCTCCCTGTGGGTCAGGGACAGGGAAGAGAAGGGACCAGGTCCTCAGGGAACCACCTTGAAACAAAACCTGGCCGGTTGGCTCAGACTGGAAACGTGGAGCACAAACACGTGGCACCATTTATGGCGGACTGAAGTCTGCCCCCTGTAGTCTCTCAGTCCCGTGGGGGCACTGACTATACATACAAGTCACTTCCTTTCTGGAGGTGGACCTTTGTTAGAATAGAACTCCTACCAACATCTCTCCAGAGTGCCCCCAAAGCCACCCCCTTTCTCACACTGCACGCGTGCGCCTTTCTTCCCACGTCCCTGCTTTAAGAGCCCTCACCCGGAGACAGCACTTACCGAGTTTCAACAGCCAGCCTTCTCGGTCGGGGTTGAAGAAAGTGTGCGTGAGGTCATTCCCATCATCTTCTGGGATTTTAAAGGGTTCATTTTTTATGCTCTCATACAGATTCTGGGATAAAAGAGGAAACTGCATGTCTCTGATTCTGGAAATATCTTTTCTTCCTCCCCTTTCTCTTCATTCATTCCACAAACATTCCTTATGTGCCCACAGTAAGCCACGCACCCTGCTAGGCACTGAGACTAGAAGAACGTGACCGTTTCTGCTTTCAGGAGGCTCTCAGTGACAAAATAAATAAGATGCCCACTGGATAATTAGGAAAGAAAAGAAAGCGGCTTGACTTCTCCCCAAGCCTTCAGTTTCAGATTTACAAACCACTGTCCCCTTCCTAACTCCTTAGCTAGGCCTCATTACCAATTTCTTAATGAAAGTTACGTAATTAAATGAATTAAAAGAGGAGACACTCAATAAATCCTATGTCTTTCTCCTCTCCTACAAAAAAAGACCCTGTTCCAGTGGACTTTCTTGACTCGAACGAAGTCCGAGCTCACCCGGAGCAACTCCTCGGGCAGGTCTCCCCCATCGTTGATGCCTCGATTCATGGCGATGAACCTCTCCACGGTGGGCTTATCTTTGACATTGGGGTTGTGCAGGCTGGTGTTCAACATGATGATGGCAAAGGAGAGGACGTAACAAGTGTCTGGATACAAGAGAAAAGCAAAGGAGAGCGCTTGTATGTTCAGACGATCAGAAACATCACACCCAGAAGAATAAGAAATGCCAGATGAAATCAGGAGTAGGAAGCCACGCTCTCAAAAGAAGGGGACAAGTCTACGCAGGTGGGTATGTCAGGGCATGCTGCTATCAGAAAAGAGCAAGGCACAAGATGTACATCAAGTATTCAAGACTTAAAGACACTTATTTTTTCAGACTGAAAAAGGAGAATGCGTACACTGCAGAAGATCTCAAAAACGACACAATGTATAAAAAATACAAATTACCTACGTCAATAAAAATTCTTTATAAAAACATGATTTTTAATAGTTGTGTATTTCACAGTTCAGAGGTACCATGACTTCTATTCCTAGTGGCTTACTGTTGCACTTTTTGATTATTTCCAACTTTTTACTATTAGAAATACCATTAAACAAATGTTCCTAGGCATGAATCCAGGAATATTCAGCCCTTTTGGTAATTTTCCAATGCCAAGAAAAGAGTCCAGTGTAAATGCCCATCGCATGCCAGGACGGGCGTGCCTACGTACCCGTGGACTGGAACACTCCGTTATTGCACTGACAGTAGCGCTGGGCAAATGCCTCCATCATCCGGTCGATCTTCTGGGCCTCCCCGGGTAGCCGGAAGCTCCACAGGAACTGCCTGAGTGGTGAGACAGGGTGGGTTCCAGGACATGGGGAAACAATGTACTTCTCTGTGAATTGTTAAACTGCCAATGACTTTTAACACGAATGAGTAAAGGGAGAACTGCTGGACTGCAGCCTTCTGGTACTCTCAACAGATGCAACTCTGACCAGTCACAAATTTACCATTCCACATCACTGTTATCTTAATCAAAAGTAAAGTACTTAGGAAAAAGCGAAAAATTAAGATTTTCCTATTCGAAAGAATGGTTCTCAGAATAATACATAGGACTAAAATATAGACAATGCTCATCCTAAATAAACTCCACTTCCAGAAAACAAGATGGGGTGGCAGGAAAAGAGAAGACTGCCTTATCGAAGCATTCACAATTGATCCCTGTAAGTCAGGGAGAGACCCACAGCTGACAGGTTTAATTCTGCATCATTTCATTCACCTAAATGGCAGCACAAAAGATGTTATTTTGTAATAGTAAAAATACAGAATGACAATTTCTCAAAAAGCACAAGGTGACAATAAAAGATTAAAGTTTACTTTTTTCTGGCCGGGCGCGGTGGCTCACGCCTGTAATCCTAGCTCTCTGGGAGGCCGAGGCGGGCGGATTGTTTGAGCTCAGGAGTTCTAGACCAGCCTG